TTTCGTATATTACTAGATGCAATTTTTATATATTATTTATATTAAAATTTGCTTTTTATAACGAGTAATTATTTATTGTGACATCGTCACAATGCCGGACTGCAATTTTTAATCATACATATTCTTAATATATTCAATTTAAAATATATTTTCTCCATCTTACATTTATAGTGCCTTGCGCCTGTACATCATACTTTCCTGTAAAGAACATAGTCATCTTGGTCATCTATGTAACTCCATTCAGGAGAAAAATTTTGAATAAAATTCACGTGTCTTCTGATCTAGAGTGGAACTTCTGATACAGTTAATCGGGTCCTCCTATCCCTACTCTGTCCATATCTGTTCTCGACTTTCATTTATCTAACACCTTTCTGGAAATTTTTGGAGGACAGACAAACATTATGGACAACTGGAAATTTATAGGTCTACAATTTTTTCAAATTGCAGCCCAGTTATTATCAGACTAAAAAGCGTTGAGACAATAGAAAATTTTCTCATTTATCATTTAAGTTATCCTCAAATTAATTTGTTATTTTTTTAGATTAAATTGTTTTTAATTTATATTTTTGTTTAGAATATGCTTTATTTTATATTTTGATATTAAAATTATAAAGAAAAATATCAACAAGAAAATTATCTTTAGAAAACTTAATTTTTATCTTTCTTTAAAATCATGACATGATGATTTATTTACTGTATAACTGATTTATGAGCAAAATTACATATTTAAATGTTATTTCATTATAAATTACTTTATATTTAACAATATTATCATGTACATTTTACATAAGACAACCGCCCCAGTAAAACATATTTTTAATTTATTAAATTATTTTATGTAAAGCTTTATAGGGTCTTCTTGTCTAAAAGAAACATTTTAGCCTTTTTACTAAAAAGTAAATTTCAAAAGAAAAAGCTAAGAAAGAAACTTTCTAGTTTATCCCTTCATTCCAGTCTTAAATTACAAGACTAATTATTATGCTACCTTTGCACAGTCAAAATACTGCGGCTATTTATAATACATTGAGCAGGATTCATTTTTAATTACTACTAAAAAATATGTTTTTGATAAACAGACCAAAAGTTTTAGACGAGTTACTTAACTTTTATTAAATATTTTATTTATTTCAATTACCTCTACTTATTTTAACAGTATTTTTACTATTAGTATATTTAATAGAAATCTTGATTATCAATTAGTTTCGTCTTCTAATTTTAACTTAACGATAAAATTTAGGGTAATCTTATTCCTTTAATATAATTATTAACATAAAACTAATAATAATAGAACTTATCTTCTATTAATTAAAAATTGTTCAATAATTTATGATTCTCTCAAGAAACCAGCAATCAAAATGGGCGTTTAGCTTTTCACTTCAATAAAATAATTTATATTTACTTTATTACGTAAATTTATTTATTTTATAACTCACATCTTTTCGGGAAATTAAAATCTTTCAACTTAATTATTAAACCCTGATACAAAAGGTACGATCTTCTTCTATTTTTATATAGTAACTCCTTTACAGATTTCCAATCAACAACTTCAAACCATTACTAGAAAATAAATTTCTTTTACAAATAAACCAAAACAGAATAAACAAGATTCCAATAGGATCTTTTTAATGTAAATAAAAAACTTTAATTAAGCTTAATCTTGTTCCAGGAGCATCTTCCGATACGCCTACTATGTTNCCCCCTATAAAACGGGTTCATATAATTCAGATTCGTACATAACTGCGACCGTATTCGTATAAACACGCTAAAAGAGACGCCTGTATAACGGAAAAAACGTCATCGCCGACTCGAGTCGCGACAGGATTGGTCGAATCTAGACAAATAGCGGATATTGCACAAACCGTTGAGTTTAAACGAGCAGCGGACCTACTAAAAACCATTTATTATTTAACGTCCACAAAAATTATATTTATATTAATGATGTCACCAAAATTCAACAAATTATTCGCAGAAAAATAATTTATCAGGAAACACGCGCGCCCCGTTCGATGCGCCCCTCCACGACGAAAACAAGCTCAAGCAATGGCGTCGTCGAACGGTGCACACTCGGTAAGTAATCCTACAATTTTTTTGTTTATCGCATAGTTTATATGGATTATTCCCAAAAAATTATACGTGTTTTGGAAATGTTGAGTCAAATTAGACTAGAATCGATTAATTTTATAGAAGAAAACCTTTCAAACAGCCGTAGTCCGTAAACTGCATACGTGCTGGGCGGTGATTGGCTCATGCATTTAAGAAATCGTAGAACAGTTTTATAAAGAACGGAACGTATCTACCGTTTTATAGGGGGTTCGACTGTATATATACTTGGTAAAAAATTGTATATAAAATTTTAATGAATATGAGTTGCTATTTGTGTTTTCTAATTAAAAATTCATTATTTTTATTACAGTAAAGATATAAAATGTAAATTTTTCGTAAACTTCGATCGATTTTTAATAAAATATTTATTCACGAAAAATACTTATAACAACTTAGTAATTAGTTTCAAATTTTAATTATTTTCTGTAAGTAGATTTTAATTAAGTTGGTATCAAGAAATAATATAAAGTTCAATCATTTTTGAACAGAATTTCTTTCAGAAAATGTGATTGATGAACATTCATAACGTCCATTAACGTCATCTCAAAATCTTATAGAAAATTATCTTTAGAATTATAACTTTATTTAGGATAAAGTTTTGGGACATCTTAATATTCTTCTATGATTTGGTAGGTTTTTTTTATTAAAAAAGACATCGACTCTTACAAAATACAATTTTAAGGAACCTGATTTTTATTTATCATATACTTTATTGGTTTTTATTTATCTTGATGCTAGTAAATACTAGTTTCGATGTGTATTGTCCTTCACTATACTGTCTCACTATATCTTTATGGTGAAGCTGTTACTTTACGTAACTATAACTGTTATATATTTAGTTTTACTTACACTATTCTTATCATTTTTCGACAAATAGCACAATACAGCATATAAATTTTATTAATTTATATGGCTTTCTATCTATTATCCAGGATAATAATGATACACAAAGGTCTGAAAAACACCAGCGTTGGTTTTCTTTCTCATTGGAAATCGATAACACAATCCACGCAAATGGGGCTTTTAACTTTTTTCTGAAGGAGAGGACGCCCATTGAAAGAAGCAAAAGGAGACCAACTTTTTTAAGAAGAAAATTAAATTTAACTAACTATATTGTTTTATACTTCTGCCTTCAAGACAATGAGATTTTACACAGTCACAATTACATTATGGGTCCAGAGAGATGTTAGAGGTGAATGGAGATGCCTCCAGACATAAATACCAGATACTGGCAGCGTACAAAAGAGACGTTATAGGTTTAAATCAATACAGTAGATAATCGTTGGGATTGAGGTGATTAGATGAGGCAGTGAAAAAACTTGTCTAAAGTGTAGATGGATAATTTTAAGTTCAGTCGTTTGACTTCTATGGATCGGTTGGTGGGAAGCGGAAAATTCTTTTAAGCCTTGAGGACAGAGTTGTGACAACGTCTTTGTATCTTTTCTCTTCAATTATTTTGAGATTCTGCCCAGACTCCTTTCGTAAATTTTCTTTGCAGACAAACGAGTTATGTTTTTTTTTCGATTGGCTCTTTGAATTGTCACCAAAAGTTTACGGGATCAATCAGGCATTGACCTCAGCAGACTCTTCATTTACATTTCTTGCATTTCTAAATTTAAGTCGTGCCGGAGTATCCGAAATGTCGCTTCAGTAATTTTTGAATGTGAACCAAAAAGTCCTATTTTCAACTACAAAGAAAAGACTAATTTGACCATCTTTCATACAATTTCACGATTCACATTCTTCTCTACACATTACGTTACTTTTATTAACTTTAACTTTGACCCCGTCGTTTATTCTTTGTTAAGTCGTGTAACTTAAATTCCATATTTAAAATATTCTTGTTTTCATATAAATAAAGCCAATAAATATAATTCAACGTATTTAGTGTTTTATGTATTGTCATTTTGTATACATAAAACATTAAATAACATTTAAAGTGACAAAATACAGTTTGATAACATTACAGTAAAATCTCCATTTAACAGACTATTTCGGACAAGGGGATGTCCATTAAAGCCGAAAAACCGTTATATAATAAAGTAGATTATTCGAATATCTGTGTTAAAAAATTGATAAATTACCTAGTTTATCTGTTTTTATTTCTGTAGATACGTTTGCATAATTACACTAAACAAATAAATAATGTCAGACGGTATATTTCACAAATTTCAAATATTGAAAACAATAAATCTTCATCCTTCCTTCTTGTCCAATCACCAGCATAAAACAGTTTTTTTCTTCGCAGAGACAACCTTTTCATTGAGGCTAAGCCTCAACAAAATTATGTAAAACAGTTTTAAAATTTCACTGGTGATAAACCAGTGAACTTTCAAAACTGTTCCACACAATTCCAAATAATTTAAAAAATATATATAATTACAAATTAAAATGGCAGTAGCCTCAATAAGCATGTCTCTGCGAAGAAAAAACTGTTTTTTTGGTGATCAGACAAGACAAAAGAATAAAGAAGACTTAGTTTCTTCGATACTTTAATAAATAATGTTCTTAAAAAGAGAAAACAAAATTTAAACTTGACAAAAAACACAACAAAATCTTCCTATGTATTCGTCTTTGGATGATGATATATAGTTCCCTTTAATCCCTTAAAATAACCGTTTAATTTAATTAAGTATAAAAAGCAAATTTTCCGTTTACGTATGCCGTACGAACCGGAAATTTTTTTCTGTCAAATCCAGGTTTTACTGTATTTTTAAATACTTTCTGTCGGGTGTTCTTAGTCTGTGAAAAATTTTGTCTTTAAAAGTTTGATAAAATTTTCACACATTAAGCCACAAAGCCACGTCAAGGCGACACCCATTTTGTGGTAGTTTTTTAGTTCCCAGAAACTAACCCTGATTGCTGGACAGAACAGCAATCAGAGAATAAAACTGGGTATTTATTCATTGCTATTTCATTAATTACATCAAATGAAAATTCGGAAAATGTATTATGCAATTGCAATTAATTGTTCTTATTAGAGAAGAAGCATTCTCAATACAGATTTGTCATTTTAAACTATATACAAGAACGATTTAATGTTAAAAACCGCAAAAATTAATGCCGAATGAATATAAATATTCTTCACGAGGGCAAAATACTTATTTGCAGCTATTGCCATTAATCAATCATCTCAAAATAGCAATAAATAAAAAAATGAATTGTTTACATCCTTAAAGTAACAACTTATTTGCATGTTATACATACAATACAATAAAATATATAATTATATATTACAATTAATTATAAGAATATGATACTATTTAATTATATACGAGGGGCGTTCGACAGGTGATTCCTCCATATTTATATGCATGCTCAGTGGCAAGATATCAAACTGAAATCAAAACAAGAATAAAGTCTAGTATTTCTAATTTAATTTCCACACTTCATTTCTCTTCGTAGTCCTCTCCATGTTCGATACACATACGCCAATATCTATTCACTTTCAAACTCGTCTCTGTAGAATATTCTCAGAACCATTTTCTCGTGGTGACTTCAGCATCGTCTCAGGTGTCTACTCTTGAGATGTCAAATTAGGCAAAATATTCTGAGGATTCGAATTCTGGATTGTAAAGAAATTCAAACCAGTTTCTGTAACGTTTCTGATGTAAAAGCAATGGAGTGGAGTCTAACATAATCATGTTGCAAAATCATTGGTTTTGTCCACAGTTCAAACACTATAAACTATTACTAGCCTTGCATAAATTTCTTTGGAAGACTCATTTTCATGACTGGTCGATTTTGTAGCCAATCGTTATTTCACACATGCCAACACAGTTGAAAACTTATCATCCATTTTAACAAACATTTAAGTTAACTATAAGAGGCTTGATGTTTTATTACGCATTAGAATGTAGGTAATGAAGCTAAGAGTTATTTATTGTCTAACTGCTTGCTAGGCAACAACTCGTGAGCAAAACATTTGCGTGGAAGCATTACTTATTGAACGTCCTACGTCAATGATGGCAAACCTTTTTCTGAAGCTGAGTCAAAACTGAATTCGAAATTTATTAACTCCAAATTGCGGGGTAGATATTTACTTTGAGTAATTGAAAAAAAATAAAATACAAATTTTACTTTATTTGATTTTTTAATCCATATCAGAAAAATAATAAATTGTATAAGTAAAGATAATAATGATGTGATCTGATATTATTTGACGTTAATATTTCTATATGAGGTTCATAATTTGTGGTATTTAAGACTCTTCACGGCAGCTTTAGGGCTTCACTTTCAACCAATCATCATTAGTGGAAGTTTTCACTTACAGTTTAATTGCTAAGAGTACAGTTACACTTACTTTACTCTGTTTCCTACATCGGTACTCTTCTCCCTTATATGTTTCCGTTCTGTTGGGTAAACATAGGGGAAAAGGACTGTTTCATCTGTGGTGAAGACATGCACTGCCTCATAGCCGCGCATGAGAGAAGGGAGCTCCCTGATCCATTCTTCACAAACACTTTGAGGCACCAATGCCCTTTGGCCACAAATTTTCTGAAGACTATGTTGTGTCTACTTTTGAAGTTCTGAAGTCATCCACTGCTGACTTTAAATTTGCTATGGCAAGACGTTTTTCAAAATCCTTGGCTTTCCTTTGTAACATCATTCTGCTAAGAGAAATACCTTGGTCAGGACAATACACAAACCATTTTCTTATACATTCATCTACGTCTGGAAAAGAACATTTTTTCACTTTATTTTTATTCTTTTAAAAGATTCTCTACTGAATATCTGTTCTTTACTACAGTTGAAAGAGTACTCGACAGACTATCAAACTTGTTGCAACTTCCTTCTTTTTCATTTGAGGATTTCCATCCAAAAATTAAAATTATTAATTTTTATTCAGTTGAGAGGACATCAACTTTCTTTTCACACTAGCAATTTGCTTCTCTTAATATCACAATAAAAAACCGGACATATGTAAATAAACAAAAACATCGGACAAGAAATTTCATTAAAATTCATTATAACATGCCACCTGAAATAAGATGCAAGCCAAACTCTTAACCAATCAGAGAAAATCAGCGTTAATTGCAACTATGCAATGTATTGCAAGAGATGTTTTCAACTATATTTATGCTATCAAAATGTAGTTGCTGAGTTTTGTATTTGTAATTGACACTTCAGTCCATAATATGTGATATAAGAAGCTTTGAGAGAAAATTATTTGAGAGAAACATGGAAAATATTTTGAATTTAGACTAAAAATGCAGGAAAAAAAATTGAGATGGAGTATGTATGTAAAGTTTTGAAATCTATCAAATATTTTAACATAATTTATAAAAACTCATTGTAGGTATCTTGAAACTCGTCGGTTCACAGGTTGGCCATCACTATCCTTCATATATAAGAATATAACTATTTATTACGTGAATTTATATTTCTATACTTAAATGAAGATATATCATGTTAATTTTAAATTATAAAAATATATAGTTATCTTTTATCTAAACGTAGGAAATGTATTCGTAGTTACAGTATATAAATTGTTTAAAATTAGATAATAAAACAAATACCATTACTTCCAACTTCTTTGCAGTGATAATGATTAACTTTTCTCCTACCCTGGAAATTCTGTAATCAGCACTAAAACGTTTTTCACTATTCCTTCATCATGCATCAGACTTTGTTTCTATAAACATTGTCTTTAGAAATTTGCATCATACTGCATTCTAATACGTCATTATAGAAGTCTTCTTTTGTTTTAACTTCTATTAAATGTTGTAATTCGGAGAAAAAGAAAACTATTAAGGAGTCTCTTGTAAATGAACACTTTGAGTACAATGGATTTCACTATAAAACAAAAAACTTACACATATTTAAATGTCCCTTTTCTAATTCTCAATGCAAATTATTGATTTGGTAAAAATGATTTCTTGTGAATCTGTCTCAAACAATCACCTTTAATAACAAATAAATTAAATTCAATTATTTCTAAATCTAATAAATTGTAAAAATCATATAATTAAATTTTTAAACGTTTTAAACAATTTTTATTTATTTCTAGAAAATTTTTCATGGATGCTTAATAGGCAGCAATGGTTTGTGTAGTAAAGTGTCTTTTAGAATTTTAAATTCTTAATTTAAATTATCTTTTAATATTTTACGTATGCAAAGAAACTGAATATAATTATCTTGATTTATATTAATATCATCAATATTTAATTTATATTTATTCGGGTATCAAACTTATTAAATCATATTTAAAATTTTTGTTTGTAATATCAGATTTTCGAGAAAAATATTTATTTATTATTATTATTTTTTAAATTTTACCTTTCTTTATTTTGAAATAATAAACGTAATCCTTTACTTTTTACAGATTAAAAAGTAATTATGGAAGGAGAAAGGAAATCTCGAAAGATGTCCGAAATATAATTGAAATTTCTAAATTATTAGGATTCAAGTACAGAATTCCAAATTTATTACAAAGTTTTCTCTGTTTTAGCAAATACAGAAAACTAAACATTAATTTAGTTAGTAGTAAAGTAGACTAAATGAAATTTTCAATCAAAATCTTACCTTTCATTCAGTAACAATCAAGTAGAAGGTACAGATGTAAAAACTGTATAAATTGTATATTTCTTTTTAAATTTTAAATAATTAAATATTAATTAAAATGATCGGAACACATTCCAATTTAGAAGACGCAAAGAGGCAAATTAAGTTGTTTTATTACAACCTAACCCATGATATAGAATTGTGAAACAACATACTACATGTAAATTGTATTCAAATTCTTGTGTTAAGAGTGTGAAGTACTGTATAATGCTAAATTGTTGCATGTAGTGTAAGAAAAACTGAAGAGGAATAAGTCATTGCTTTGTTTTCCTTCGTTGAAATTTTTGGAAATTTATATCATGTATTGAACACATAAATTACGGAAGTTATTGTTTTATCTTCACGTTAATGTAAGAAGTGTATATTAGGGATTTTTAGGGTTAATTTCCCATATTGTCATCTCTGCAATTAATTATAGTTCTGGAAAATGGATTAAATTTTAAATTATATTAACTGTTTCACTGATATATTTAATATAGTATGACAATATACTCATTCTACAAAAGTAATTTACGAAAGAAGATAATTCGAGGTACTTATTAAATAATTTGTCAAGTATATTTATTTATAAAATTGTAAAGTGAAATATTATTAAAAAATAAGTTTTTAATGTAATTTAAATTAAAAAATAAGTTTTTAATGTAATTTAAATAAAAGAATCTTTAATTATTGCCGATATCAAACGAAAAGGAAGTAGGGAAATTAAACTACTTATCCTGATTTTTCTTTCTTGTATCTTGAAGAGGAAATGTCAAAAGAAAATTCGTACTTGAAAAAACACTAATTAGGAAATGATAATCTTGTGAAATATCTGAAATGAAATTCTTATAAGATAATACACGATCATAGCAGAATCTAGTACTTAAAAAGATTATGTGGAAAAAGTATAAATATTAATATTAAAAGTATTAAAGTTATAACGAAGTACTAAAAGTTGTCTTTCGATTTAAATGTGACAACTGATTCAGACCAAATTATTAATGAATTGATGACATTAATGCTTTCGGTAATATTCCTTTCAGTTTTATTTGATTTCAACACTAGAAAATAGGCCTATCTGTTTAGGTTATCACTTACATTACATATATTTGACACAATTCTGGTTCCTATATCGATTATATATTTAAGAAACAGCTTCAATGTCCTTAATTTTTCAATTTTGTTTTTATATTGTCCACGTAGAATTTGTTTATATATTGGAGTTATTATACTGGCGTAATTTCGAAGTAGTAAAGGGAGGAAGTCTTATCAAAAGATAAAACAAAAGAGCTTCTATATACCTACAGGGATTTTATGTCATTTACTTTATGTATCTTCTATTCAAACATGAAATATCGCTTACTTTCGTGCCGAATCACTTACTTTCATGATCACCTATTGAATCAAAATTCTGCTAACAACAAAAAGAAAGAACAATTGCAAACTATTGTTAATTAGTTTCCAATTGTTCTTTTTTCTATTGTTGATGTCACGACAAATGAGTCACTTGACATTTCTACGTGAAATCATTCAGATCATTACTACAAATGTCCAATATTTGTGGGTACTTTTTAAATTTCGTATAATTCAGCATAATTGAAAATTAATAAAAATTGGTAGGAAAATATAAGGGATTATCTCGGTAAATCATATTATCTTACACTGTATTAAAAAAACGTTATAATCCTTCCTTCGAACTCTGTTATGTTTGAAATCCATTTTGATATTTTAATTTAATTTAATAAAATTAAACTAACATTTTAAAACTCTTTTAACTAAAATTCCTTAATTTATCCAATCTGCCCGTCTGCTGTCCTTTCTTAATCATGAGAATGGAGTTAGATATATGAAACTTAAACGCAGATTCGGAAAGACTAGTGGCGGAAGACCCCGATTAACTGTATATGATCTTCTAATTTAGACTAGAGGTTGCGTTATTTAAATTTAAAAATTTCCTCTTGGACGGACTTAGATTATCGTCGTGACTCCCTTGTTGACAGGAACAGTATTTACAGGAGCAAGAAGCTATTAAAATTAAGATCATAAGATCGTTGTGACAAAAAATTGCAGCCTGGCATTATCACTATGCCATAATTAATAACTACTCGTTATTATACCGAAGATATTGAAAAAATTACGTGATTATCAAAATATCTTTAATAAATCTTATTCCTTATAATTTTATTCAATATGCATAGTTTCGCTATATTTAATAATTGAATAAATTTTTAATTTGTTTTTAGATTGGCATCTTAAATGTTACATCCTAATCTAGACTATAGTAATTTTTTCAACGGTGTATGAGTCATGATCGGAACTGGTTGACGCCATTGTGTGTCAGTCTTGTTGTAATGGCGTAATTATGGCCTGTCATCTAGTATATAATGTGCTAATGCTATGCATTAATTAATTAGTCTAACCATTTAGAAGAAACTGTGGATGATAGATCTAAAAATGGAGGACATCTAAATTCCTTAACCATAGTCCAATATATAGATGATTTTCAATATGGCTACCATTCTGAAAGTTTTAAATACAATAGACAAGTGTTTCTCGAGCATTCTGTGTACACCGAACAGTTATTTTTATTTATTTTTCTTTGTTTTTCATTCTATTTGTGGACCAGTATTTTTGTTAAGTTAGATTAAAATAGTTTTAAGGTGGAGAGAACTGACTTAAAATGTACTTTTTATTTTAATTTTTAGAATTAACAAGAAAAATACAATAACAAAATTTAATTCTAATTATTTTGAAAAAAAAATGGATTTGTAATTTCCCAGGCCGATTCGAAGGCAGTTCACCCGTGATTACTTTGTATATTAATGAAGAAATTTGATATTATAATAGAAATTACTTTACATTTTAAAATATTTATTTTCAACGTGTTTATTTAGAAATCGGTATAGATTTTTCATCGTTTCCGAGAAGTTAGAAATGTAATTATGTATAAGCCTAATTGCAAAACAATGACATAAATTAGTCTTAATTATTTTTAACAAGACTATTTAATCAAATGCAAGAATTCCGTATAATGACGTAAATTAATAAAATTTTAAAATTGTGGATAATTAGCGTCTTAGTTAGGATGGTCAGATTGCCTAAGTCGTTAAGTGGTGGATGAAAGTCATGTTATTTCAATTCAAAAATTTTTGCAGACAGAGTTAAATAGATGTGATCGACATGACTCTTGTTAACTGGAAAAGTATGGTGTACAGAGCAACATACTATTGAAATCAAGTGCATAAATAAGTCATTAATCAGTTTAAATAATAATATTTAATTACTAATATATATATAAATTGCGTGTTTACTATGTAAAACATATATTTTATTATAAATTATAATTATAATTGTAAAGTATTGACCTTTTAGCAGAGAGGGAACAAAAGAAGCGCGACCTTGTCAATTGGACTCACGTGCGGTCGGGTAATACCACTTGTAAGGTGTTTGTAAACAGACGGAAAACAAAGGAAGCGCCGGCATTATCAATTGGACCCACCTGTAGTCTGACGTTAGACCATTTGCCATATGGTAAACAACTGAATATAAACAAGTGGCTGACGTTTATGTAAGCTTCACTCTCGTCGGATGACGGCGGACCCGAGTGTAAGCTGTTCGGACAAGAAGGAGTTGTGATTGGTCGGAAGTCCCCGTCCAAAAAACCCTTAAATTGTGGCGCGAACGGAAGAGGAAAGAGAGAAGAGCAAGAGACTGGTACACGGTAGTCTCAGGACCTAACGTACTAGATTGGTTTCCGTGAACTCTTAAACTTTGGAAAGGCCTCGGTCAGCTATTCAGTTTTAAAATATTACAGTATTTACATTATTTTTAATGCACGATGTTTTTATACTTTATGATTTGAAACAAAATAGTAAAATGATATACATAATAACAGTTATAGATGTAAATAGTACGAAAAACGAGGATTCAAGAGCACACGTGACTCAATATGGTAATGTATTTAAAGTTGTCACTATAACTTCACCTTACCGTACAATTTAATTTAGTGTGTAGTGTGAACACAATTTAGCAGTAATATTTTAATACATTATATTTTACAATAAAAATAAAAATTTTAGAGGTAAAGTATCCAATATCAGAATATTTAATATTTAATAANGGCTGCAAGCGATGGTGAAACGACATTCGAAAGAAAGAGAGCTGTTTTCAGTTGTGGAATAGTTGAAACATTACAAATAGAATAATTAGCTAATTATTAAATTATTTTTGATAAAATGCTTGATAAAAATTTAATTTGTTTAGAATATCTAAAACTTATTACAAGTGAAGCAAACTACGTAATATTATCATTCTATACTGATAAGACTTAATTAAGTCTCTTGACAGAGTTGTCAAAGTGAGTCATTCAAAAAAGATAAGAAACATTAAGTTAATTTCAACAAGAAATCGATTCCAGATATTCCTGTTAATCAAGTGAAACTATAATTTATGAATTGTGTCGTAATTCAATAAAATACAGGAGACACTCCATTTTTAACAGCTTTAATTGTGTAATGTCTATCAATTATAATTCTATAAACGAATTTCTAAATTCTTTCAATATGTATTTCGTTGTGATTTTTTATACATTTTACGTGAGTAGAACGACCAATATAACAGAATTCTTAAACAATTACCATATACCAAGTATTTTTAAAACTCTTGTTGCCCTGTGGACACCAAGGATGTTTATTCATGTCTATCGTGGGTTTGGCTAAGCTCTCAATGGAGGTTGGTGAGAAAGGGGTCCTCGAAAAATTCCTGTGGTTCTTTCTCCTCCCACATTCGATTCTGTCCCACAGAGCCGTAGCCTGACAGCTTAACAGCCTGAACCATTCTTAAGCATTAAATTAGTTGTTTATAAAGTTACTTCCTATTTTTTTAAACATTAATTATAAATAAATGTTAATATTAGTAACATTTATATAATTTTTTATATTTTAAAATGTCTAAACTATATTTATTATTTTTATTTTCTTTACAAACTAGTAATTTCCATGATAAAAGTAGATAAATAAATATTCACTACAATTTCTCATAAAATGAATGAAATTTAAGGATATTAATAGGAAATTCTTCAAAAATTCCATGTATTCGGCCTTTGTAAGATTGTCTACCGGATTTGATTCTCTTATAACTTGTAAATAATTGAATAGGTTTATAAATAAAAATGTAGAAATTATACAGAAGGAAAAACAAAATAAAATATTCGAAACCAGAAATGTATTATTATATTTTTAATAACTGTTATAAATTGATTTTACTTTTAAATTAATATTTGATTTTTGTTTACGTTACAAATTGTTACAGGTTCTGGCCAACGTTGTTTAAATCATGGAACAGGGCACTCCATAATTAAAATGGTTATCAATAAAATATGACGTCAGTATCGACGTATGTCATTTTAATCCATTAGTCAAAATTATTATAAATCGTACATGTTTATTGATGGCTAATGATACATTGCACTGAGTCTCACGGATTAAAAATATTGCTCTATTAATCTAATGTTTAAATGTAAAAAATATTTTAAAATGTTATAAAGGACCGTAGACACTAATGTTGTATGAATTTTGCTTATTATCTCTTTCTTTTTATTATAATTTTTAAAAGGGAAATCGCGAAGATAATAAATGCCACTTTTTTAAAAAAAAAAACATTTGTTTACACAATACTTTGTTTTGTTTGAACAAAAAACATTTATAAATGTTTTTTTGTACATGTGTTTTTGTTTGGTTACAAAAATATAAAACATTGGTTTTATATTTTTGTAATATGACTTTATTAAGAACTTCTTCGGCCATACAACAAAGCAATCTGAAGCTGTGCACATCTGAAGAAAACAAAGAAAGCACCAAGAAAAGGCTTTGTTCTGTTTAGACTCATATTCAGGTCTTGAATTAGATTTTAAAGAATGTGAAGACACTCCCCACAATATTCTATCGAAAGTGCCATTTCGCATGAATTTGTTCTCATATAAGAATTAAAGTTGCGATTCATTTGAAGGATGTTTATGCTTTTACTTCATTTTAATAATTACCATAATTAGAAGCTTGCATTATAAATGGCCTGAAGCATTTTGGCTTCTGGAATAAATGCATTCATAATTTTAATTGGATAAGAATTAGCATAGCTTTAAGTTATTTAAGTGATATGTATTTATTCCCACTATTCTAACAATCTGAATCACTTAAACCTGAATAATAAATTACCCTTTAATGTAAACAACAATAATTTATTTTATCGAAATCATCTCCGATATGGGAATTATTTCCGAGATTTAAAGATAATCAAGTGCGATTTTTTGGGATCGAATAAATCGTCGATTTTTTTCGTCACGAACCATTTTACTAGCTGTTCTCTTTGAAATTTTTCAATGCTTATTTGATTATTGCATAGTGATTTGGTCTTCTGCTTTGATACTGACATTAATAACGTAATTAAGGTGCTTGACGATGTTTATTCTTTATCCAATAAACTTCAGTATTTCAGTATTTTTATGGTCATTTACCACTAAATTATATTTTTATGCAAAATATATCTTGTTTACTCAAACTCAATTATTATTGGCTGATTGTTTCGCGTTATTTATTCTTTTATTATTCGTAAACACGCATAACTTTAACAATAAATTTTATTTAAACTGCATTTTAAATGTTTTAAATATTTAGTTTTAAAATTTATATATATATATATTTCATATAACTTTTCTTATGAGCGTTTTCTTTTTTATCCTTATTCGGGGTAATGTTACGTCATACTAAGACTTTTCCTTTTTATGATTAAGATAAAATAAATAGTTTAACCCTGGAAGATAGATGGAAATGGTGTTTTCTTTCCTGACGTCATTAATCACTCTTAACGTATGATCATACTCAAAGATTAAATTGTAGTTTGCTGGCAGATGAAACACAATCCCTCGCTTTGTGTATCGTCAACTTGTAATAGAACACAAATTTAAGTGTTATTACTTTTTACCAAAGTGGGTTACGTGTGTTGGGACTTGAAATAAGTTGAAATTAGCTCTTTAAATATATTTAGATAAGTTATTCGTTTTCCAGTTTAGTAGGACAAGATATACAATAGATAGGCAATTGTTTCGTTCTCTGTGTGCTGTAATTTCAAACGATTTCACTATTTCAAGAACCAATAAAAACCTCAGTTTTTGGTTTGTCTTATAATAATATTTGATATTTAGAATTGTATTTCAAATTTAAGTAGATTTACCATTGTTAGAGTTTCCTTAATAAATCTATAAAGTCTTAGTATAAAAAACATTCCTGTTTAGAAAATATTAAAAAGCCTGTACTATCATATTGTACGTAATTAAATTTTGCTGGATACCAAGATATGCCAGTATAAAAACGAACGAACTAAGACATTTAAATCACTCTTTCTTGCTTTTCTTTCTACACGGATATATATCCAAACATATTGGCGTGTAACACACAATTTAAGATGCACAGACTAGTAATAAATTTTATGAGATAATGCCAGGGGAGAACAGAAACCATTGGAGAATAGGCATGAGAAAATTATCCTGACATGATTGCGTATAAGAGAGAGAGAGTATTTATGTCTTTTTTTTTTTTAATTTTTTCTTCTTTGGTTAATCTTTTTTTTTTTTTTCGTTTGTTTTATGGGACATTGTTTAGTAGTGTGCCTTCTTTTTATTTTGTTGGGGATTTAGGGTGAGGATTGGGGGTTTATGTCTTATTTTTATTGGTTTCTTTATTTGGGGGGGCTTTTTATCCGGTTTTTTTTTATAAGCATTAAGTTAATTAAACTAATAGCCTTCAAAGCTTTAAATGGTGAGAGTCATGCTTAGTTGATAATATTTTTAAATTTGCAATTTAATGTTTTAATTAAACTAATCAACTTTTGGTTTGGGAGTTTTTCATGATAAAATTTACAATTTTATGCCTGGACTTTCGGCCACACAAACCTTGCGATGGTTGTATTCTACAAATCATAAGGATATTGGTACTATGTATTTGGTGTTAGGTATTTGGGCTTCTATAGTTGGGACTGCTTTGAGTTTGATTGTTCGGGGGGAAATTGGGATGCCAGGTTCTTTGATTGGGGATGATCAAGTTTATAATGTTGTTGTAACGGCTCATGCTTTTGTTATAATTTTTTTTATGGTTATGCCTATTATGATTGGGGGTTTTGGGAATTGATTAGTTCCTTTGATGTTAGGTGCTCCTGATATGGCTTTTCCTCGAATGAATAATATGAGTTTTTGATTACTTCCTCCTGCTTTTTTTCTTTTGCTTTCTTCTGCGGCATTGGAGAGAGGGGCAGGAACGGGTTGGACAGTTTATCCTCCTCTTTCTTCCTCTTTGGCTCATGTTGGGGGTTCGGTTGATCTCACTATTTTTTCTCTTCATTTGGCTGGTGTCTCTTCTATTTTGGGGGCTATTAATTTTATTACTACTATTATTAATATGCGAAGAAGTGGTATGGGATTGGATCGTCTTCCTTTATTTGTTTGATCTGTGATAGTTACTGCTGTTTTGTTGTTATTGTCTCTTCCTGTGTTAGCAGGGGCTGTTACTATGTTGTTGACGGATCGGAATTTTAATACTTCTTTTTTTGATCCTGCTGGGGGTGGAGATCCTATTTTATATCAGCATTTGTTTTGGTTTTTTGGACACCCTGAGGTTTATATTTTGATTTTGCCTGGGTTTGGGATGATTTCACATATTGTGAGTCATCATATGGGTAAGAGGGAGCCTTTTGGTTCTTTGGGCATGGTTTATGCTATGGTTGCTATTGGTGGATTAGGTTTTATTGTTTGGGCTCATCATATGTTTACTGTGGGTATAGATGTAGATACTCGGGCTTATTTTACTGCTGCTACAATGATTATTGCTGTTCCTACGGGTATTAAAATTTTTAGCTGGTTAGCTACTCTTCATGGGTCTTATTTTGTTTTTAGTTCTGCTATGTTATGGGCTTTAGGTTTTATTTTTCTTTTTACTGTTGGGGGGTTGACTGGTGTAATTTTGGCTAATTCTTCTTTGGATATTGTTTTACATGATACTTATTATGTTGTTGCTCATTTTCATTATGTATTATCAATGGGGGCTGTGTTTGCTATTTTGGCTGGTATTGTAGAGTGGTTTCCTGTAATTTTAGGTATTTGTATGAATGAGCGGGCTTTGAGGGCTCATTTTTTTGTTATGTTTGTTGGTGTTAATATGACTTTTTTTCCTCAGCATTTTTTAGGTTTGAGAGGTATGCCTCGTCGGTATTCTGATTATCCGGATGCTTATTCTTGTTGAAATTTAGTTTCTAGTTTAGGCTCTTATGTTTCTTTTATTGCTACTTTGGCTTTTATGTGTATTTTGTGGGAGGGGGTTGTTAGTTCTCGGGGGTTTTCTGGGGCTAGTTTTATGCCTTCTTTTTCTGAGTGGTCTCATGGGTTTCCTCCTCAAGATCATACTTATAATCATCTTGTGGCTGTTATTAAGTAGTTAATGGCAACATGAGGGATGCTCTCGTTTCAGGATAGTGTTTCTCCCTTGATGGAGCAGTTGATGTTTTTTCATGATCATTCAATAGTAGTTTTGGTGATGATTACAGTATTGGTTTTTTATTTTGTGTCTGGTATTTTAACTAATACTTATTTAAATCGTTTTATTGTTGAAGGGCAGGAAATTGAGATTTTTTGAACTTTTATTCCTGCTGTGCTTTTGATTTTTATTGCTTTTCCCTCTCTTCGTGTGTTGTATTTGGTGGAAGAAGTTCATTGCCCGGACTTAACTTTGAAGACGGTTGGTCATCAGTGATATTGAAGTTATGAGTATTCGGATTTTGTTGATATTGAATTTGACTCTTTTATATTACCTTTAGAGGAGGGGGGATTTCGTTTGTTGGATGTTGATAATCGTACGGTTTTGCCTTGGGGTGTGTTTACTCGGATTTTAATTACTTCTTCTGATGTTATTCATTCTTGGGCTTGTATGGGATTGGGGGTTAGGATGGATGCTGTCCCAGGCCGGGTTAATCAGGTTTGTTTTTTGATTAACCGGCCTGGGTTATATTATGGTCAGTGTTCTGAGATTTGTGGGGCTAATCATAGTTTTATACCTATTGTTATTGAGAGAGTTTCTGTGGATGCTTTTTTGAGTTGGGTGAGGACTTTTTATTAGCTAGGTNTTAATAATAAATTAAAATATATTAATAATTAGTATTGTTTTATTATATTAAATTATTTTTGATAAAATGCTTGATAAAAATTTAATTTGTTTAGAATATCTAAAACTTATTACAAGTGAAGCAAACTACGTAATATTATCATTCTATACTGATAAGACTTAATTAAGTCTCTTGACAGAGTTGTCAAAGTGAGTCATTCAAAAAAGATAAGAAACATTAAGTTAATTTCAACAAGAAATCGATTCCAGATATTCCTGTTAATCAAGTGAAACTATAATTTATGAATTGTGTCGTAATTCAATAAAATACAGGAGACACTCCATTTTTAACAGCTTTAATTGTGTAATGTCTATCAATTATAATTCTATAAACGAATTTCTAAATTCTTTCAATATGTATTTCGTTGTGATTTTTTATACATTTTACGTGAGTAGAACGACCAATATAACAGAATTCTTAAACAATTACCATATACCAAGTATTTTTAAAACTCTTGTTGCCCTGTGGACACCAAGGATGTTTATTCATGTCTATCGTGGGTTTGGCTAAGCTCTCAATGGAGGTTGGTGAGAAAGGGGTCCTCGAAAAATTCCTGTGGTTCTTTCTCCTCCCACATTCGATTCTGTCCCACAGAGCCGTAGCCTGACAGCTTAACAGCCTGAACCATTCTTAAGCATTAAATTAGTTGTTTATAAAGTTACTTCCTATTTTTTTAAACATTAATTATAAATAAATGTTAATATTAGTAACATTTATATAATTTTTTATATTTTAAAATGTCTAAACTATATTTATTATTTTTATTTTCTTTACAAACTAGTAATTTCCATGATAAAAGTAGATAAATAAATATTCACTACAATTTCTCATAAAATGAATGAAATTTAAGGATATTAATAGGAAATTCTTCAAAAATTCCATGTATTCGGCCTTTGTAAGATTGTCTACCGGATTTGATTCTCTTATAACTTGTAAATAATTGAATAGGTTTATAAATAAAAATGTAGAAATTATACAGAAGGAAAAACAAAATAAAATATTCGAAACCAGAAATGTATTATTATATTTTTAATAACTGTTATAAATTGATTTTACTTTTAAATTAATATTTGATTTTTGTTTACGTTACAAATTGTTACAGGATCTGGCCAACGTTGTTTAAATCATGGAACAGGGCACTCCATAATTAAAATGGTTATCAATAAAATATGACGTCAGTATCGACGTATGTCATTTTAATCCATTAGTCAAAATTATTATAAATCGTACATGTTTATTGATGGCTAATGATACATTGCACTGAGTCTCACGGATTAAAAATATTGCTCTATTAATCTAATGTTTAAATGTAAAAAATATTTTAAAATGTTATAAAGGACCGTAGACACTAATGTTGTATGAATTTTGCTTATTATCTCTTTCTTTTTATTATAATTTTTAAAAGGGAAATCGCGAAGATAATAAATGCCACTTTTTTAAAAAAAAAAACATTTGTTTACACAATACTTTGTTTTGTTTGAACAAAAAACATTTATAAATGTTTTTTTGTACATGTGTTTTTGTTTGGTTACAAAAATATAAAACATTGGTTTTATATTTTTGTAATATGACTTTATTAAGAACTTCTTCGGCCATACAACAAAGCAATCTGAAGCTGTGCACATCTGAAGAAAACAAAGAAAGCACCAAGAAAAGGCTTTGTTCTGTTTAGACTCATATTCAGGTCTTGAATTAGATTTTGAAGAATGTGAAGACACTCCCCACAATATTCTATCGAAAGTGCCATTTCGCATGAATTTGTTCTCATATAAGAATTAAAGTTGCGATTCATTTGAAGGATGTTTATGCTTTTACTTCATTTTAATAATTACCATAATTAGAAGCTTGCATTATAAATGGCCTGAAGCATTTTGGCTTCTGGAATAAATGCATTCATAATTTTAATTGGATAAGAATTAGCATAGCTTTAAGTTATTTAAGTGATATGTATTTATTCCCACTATTCTAACAATCTGAATCACTTAAACCTGAATAATAAATTACCCTTTAATGTAAACAACAATAATTTATTTTATCGAAATCATCTCCGATATGGGAATTATTTCCGAGATTTAAAGATAATCAAGTGCGATTTTTTGGGATCGAATAAATCGTCGATTTTTTTCGTCACGAACCATTTTACTAGCTGTTCTCTTTGAAATTTTTCAATGCTTATTTGATTATTGCATAGTGATTTGGTCTTCTGCTTTGATACTGACATTAATAACGTAATTAAGGTGCTTGACGATGTTTATTCTTTATCCAATAAACTTCAGTATTTCAGTATTTTTATGGTCATTTACCACTAAATTATATTTTTATGCAAAATATATCTTGTTTACTCAAACTCAATTATTATTGGCTGATTGTTTCGCGTTATTTATTCTTTTATTATTCGTAAACACGCATAACTTTAACAATAAATTTTATTTAAACTGCATTTTAAATGTTTTAAATATTTAGTTTTAAAATTTATATATATATATATTTCATATAACTTTTCTTATGAGCGTTTTCTTTTTTATCCTTATTCGGGGTAATGTTACGTCATACTAAGACTTTTCCTTTTTATGATTAAGATAAAATAAATAGTTTAACCCTGGAAGATAGATGGAAATGGTGTTTTCTTTCCTGACGTCATTAATCACTCTTAACGTATGATCATACTCAAAGATTAAATTGTAGTTTGCTGGCAGATGAAACACAATCCCTCGCTTTGTGTATCGTCAACTTGTAATAGAACACAAATTTAAGTGTTATTACTTTTTACCAAAGTGGGTTACGTGTGTTGGGACTTGAAATAAGTTGAAATTAGCTCTTTAAATATATTTAGATAAGTTATTCGTTTTCCAGTTTAGTAGGACAAGATATACAATAGATAGGCAATTGTTTCGTTCTCTGTGTGCTGTAATTTCAAACGATTTCACTATTTCAAGAACCAATAAAAACCTCAGTTTTTGGTTTGTCTTATAATAATATTTGATATTTAGAATTGTATTTCAAATTTAAGTAGATTTACCATTGTTAGAGTTTCCTTAATAAATCTATAAAGTCTTAGTATAAAAAACATTCCTGTTTAGAAAATATTAAAAAGCCTGTACTATCATATTGTACGTAATTAAATTTTGCTGGATACCAAGATATGCCAGTATAAAAACGAACGAACTAAGACATTTAAATCACTCTTTCTTGCTTTTCTTTCTACACGGATATATATCCAAACATATTGGCGTGTAACACACAATTTAAGATGCACAGACTAGTAATAAATTTTATGAGATAATGCCAGGGGAGAACAGAAACCATTGGAGAATAGGCATGAGAAAATTATCCTGACATGATTGCGTATAAGAGAGAGAGAGTATTTATGTCTTTTTTTTTTTTAATTTTTTCTTCTTTGGTTAATCTTTTTTTTTTTTTTTACTTTCGTCTGTTTTACGGGTCTTTGTTAGACAAACATTTCACCCACTGTTAACTTTGGTGATTGAAGATTCTGTGTATACCTGAATTGAATTTCATATATATTTTAACTACTTATCACGATTTTATCCGTTTACAGCATTTTAATGTCGTTATTTTATTCTTTTAATCTTTATTGGACATGATTTTAACCGAAAATTTTTTCAGCTTTGGCCTTTAAACAAACTGCAACTTTAGTTCTCGTATCATTTTAACAGTGCGTTTTATAGTACATTTATACCAGTGATTTTATCGATATATCATTGGTTTTACAATATTGATCTGTTTAAATGTTTTCACATCTATTCTTCGTTTTTATTATTGTTTACGGTATTAAATCCTTTATAGTATTTATCACTTTTATTTCTTCTAGTACTAGTACTGTCTTATCAATGCAATGTTAAATTCTAACTACTACTTGTGCCAATAAAATTAAACAACCTGATCTTTTTATTCATTTAAAAAGTAAAAGAGATATTTAAAATCCAATTAAAATGTGTATTAAATTAAATTAAAATGTATAAAAACATAATTTTATAAAATTATATTTATAGTATAGCTATAGAGTGGCCCATAAGTCGCAACTCTATGCCATTAAGAAAGAGAATAAATTTTTGTTTATTAATTTTTCTATTTATTTTTTATATAATAAGGTACATAAGTTCATGACGAAGCCATAAGTTTAAGATTCAATCTATGGGCAGAGATATTCGAGATCAAAGTTCGCCATATAAAGCCTATGGATTTAGGCCTATATGTCAGTTAAGTTTTCAATTGTTGTCAATTTACATTATTAAGGTAACGTCCAGGACAAGTTTTCATTTTGATTTTCAAAATCTGAAACCAAAGTTTGAAAATATAAAATAGGAAAAGGTTATAGATTTTAAATTGGTAAAACGACTTATCAACACCCTGTATTTTTATATGAAGTTAATTTATTTTAAAAAATTCTTCAGCATCGAAATTGCAAATTTAAAAATTAAATATTATAAAGATTAAAGAAAAATTAAACTAAAGTGGGTAATAATTAATGATATTTGTATAAAAATATTTTCTAGAAAATTCCGAAAATTGCGATGAAAGAAATGCAATATAAATCAAGCCAAGAGAGCCAAAAAAAAAAATAAAAAATATATAGACTATACATATTTAATTTTATTATTTAAGTTTTAATTATTATTTAATTATATAACATTATATATAAATAAACTCTTAATTATTATTTAATTATATAACATTATATATAAATAAACTCTTTATTTATANTATGTATAGTCTATATATTTTTTATTATTTAATTATTATTTAACTAAATATTATATTATTTATTATTTATTAGCAAATATACGATTTTAAAGTTATATTTTATCGCTTATATTAAGTACCTTATTCGAATGGAATAAGGAAATTAATGGAAAATTTTCAAGAAAAATAAAGTATATCGATTTAAAAAGTGGTAATTTTATAAAATTAAATTTTTGATAGAAGAAACTTT